TAATATATAATATATATATATATATATATATATATATATATATATTTCAACTCACTCAAAGATTATTCTTCAAATACCACATCCAAGTCCTAAACCATTAAAAGTCAACTTCTCAAGAAAAAAATAAAAAATAAAAAAAAAACATTTAAAAATCTCTTATTTAGCAACGTTCGACTCGATCTCAGTCTATTCTATTTCTGAGTGAATCAAATTGCTTGAACGATTGTTTCAAACCCGCTTGTTTTCCATCAACATTTCAACGAAACGATCGCCGACGAAATACGCTTGAAACTGGGTGTATATATATATATATATACACGTTTCGTTGGTCAAGGTTATATCGAATGCTCGATCGAATTCAAAATATTCGAAATTCGCGCCAAAATGACGAAGGAAAAAGGAAGTACGACATCGAAGCATGGGGTCGGTCGAAGAGTCGCGTTTGTTCCTGAAACAAGTCGGAGAGCCATACTTTAACCCTTTCTTCCTCCCAATCGTCCTATGACCCCTATTGATGGAATGTTTCTCTGTATTTCTCTCATGTTCGAGGTCATGGCGGCCATTGATCACCGCGAAAAATATATTTTACAATGGTACATATACATCTATATATATATGCATTTATATAATAATAATAATAATAATAATAATAATTAATAATAATAATAATAATAATAATAATATAATTATAATAATATATTCTCTCTTAAAAGCAACTCACGTATTCGCAGTTTTTCTTTCTTTCTTTCTCTTCGTGTCATACGTACGATGCGTATAAACTATGTAACAAAAAAAAAAAAAAAAACAACGACGAATTAACGCGCGAAAATTATTTATACTCGCGATAAAAAACTAGCATTTTTCTTTTATAGTCCAAAGCTACCCCTCCTTTATATTTTCGATTTGTAGGTTAGGGTGGCTGCGATAATTATAATAATAAAAAGTAATAAAACTTAATGGTGGACAGTAAATAGATGAAACGAAATCGAATCGATGAGAAATTTATGTTTCATGATTTACGAATGTGAACGATGGAAGATATCGATTGTGGTGTAATAGTATATTATTTTTTTCTTTTTTTATTTTATTCGATTACGATTTAAACTCGTGATAATGACTCGTCGTGATGAGAACTCGTTTGATGATTTCGTTTTCGAAGAGAGTAGAATAGAGCAAAGACAAGAGAAAAAGAAAAAAAAAAAATTAGAAAAGAGGAAGAAATAAACGCGTGTGTATATAACGCTATGTGCATATTATATTGTAATAATAATAATATTAATAATAATAAACAGTGTTCTTTGGTAACACAATGATACGTCCGGAAACTACGAATACGATTTCAACGTATTGTCCGATCGTGACAAGATGATCCCGATAAATGTGCATAACCTTGGTTGAGGATTATAATATTTTAATATTTCTTTTGTGATGAAACGCGTTAAACTCGAAGAATTCGTATCTTTTTATTTTTTTTATTTTTTTTCTTATCAGGGCTTCGTTTTTATAGAAAATTTGATACCATGATCGAAGAAGAGAAAATAGAGAAATTGAAAATATATTTTTACATCTGATTAATCTGATTAATCACAAGTACTTATCAACTATTATTTTAATGATTAAATGCAAATCAAAAATATGTTTCCAAAAAACAAAACCCAAAAAAGATTCTTTGTTCCATAATTTTTCAAACTAAATCTCTATCCTCAAGCCAATCCGCACAATTCAAGTACTATGCTCTCAACAAAATACAAAAATCGCGTGTACGACAAGTCGCCAGATCGTTTTCTCGTCGTGTAACGAAAAATAAAAAAAGGAAGGACTCCATCTTGTCTCGTGATCTATGATAAATAGTACAAACTGTTTATATATATATATTATATATATATACATATGATGACTGCAGGGTTCCTCACCGTCCCGTTTTCAGGCAACTCACGTCTCCCCGACTCTTTTTTCTTTCTTTCTTTCTTTCTTTCTTTCTTTTTTTTTTTCTCTCCATTCCCATACATATTTATAGAGCGTAATTCTGCTCCATTTTTTTTCTTACGTTCATCCGTATGTACATAACAATCGATACAATGTTCTCGGGTCGGGTAAACGACAATGGCGATGTTCGATACACGTTCGACACAGACGTTCGAAGCAGCTTTGATGATGATCGAAGAGAAGCGGCAACTTCGAACGTACAAGCGGTCGTTCGCGATTATTCGTTCGCGTGGCTAGCGTATGATTAATCTAAAGAAGATACACCATTTTACTTTCGAGCAACGATCCATCAAATTTCTCTCGCCGCATCGCTCTTCGTCCCAAAGCCTCCCGCACGCACTCTATACATGCACGCAACAACACACACCTCGTATCCTCGTATTCTCTTAAGCTTAAGCTTATCGATAATTAAGTAAATATTCTGTAAATCCTCTCTATGTACACCCTGTTTGAAATAGTTCCCTTAAACCTAGCCCTAAGAACACCGCGTCCCCTGGTGATCCCATCGCCTGGAACTCTCGTTCTTCTCGATAAATAAAATTTGAAATTCCCGCCTCGTTAACACGAAAACAGTTTCCTCCTCTTCTTTCAATATTTATTCAAGGAGTTGCAGTCTAGAGATTGAAGCTAACTTGTTTTAAGCTTAGCTTATTTTTGCTCGCGCGATAGGAAAATCCAGTTTCTGACAATCCTTCCGGATAAATTTCGTCGAGTTGCAGCATTCGATCTTTCCTTCCTTCGGGGCAATTTGGTCTCGGGAATCGCGTTTATCGGTGGTCGATAGTGGAAACTCGTTACCGATAGTCGGTAATTTCGACGCTCAGATAAACCAGCTTCGTTCGTATGCAGGCGTTCAAGTCTCCGGTTTCGTGGATCAAATTAGCCCTCGTGCTCGCTTATTGCACGGCGTTTTGGTCCACGCGTTTAGGAAAAAACTTACGAACCAAGCTGCTGGCCACTGCCTACGTAAACGTAACTCTATGGTTGCTGAAGCAACAATTGTTCAAGCTCGTCGGCGGACCTCAAAAGAAATGCTGCTGATTCTCGATATCCGGTGATCAGTTGCCTAACGGCTGTCATTTCCGTTGCGTTCAACTTATGGCTCAGAAGCGGTTTCGTGTTCTTCATGCTCAAATCCGTCGGTCCTGGAAAAGTAAATTACGTTTATAAATGATTCCTATCATTTATTTATTTATTTATTTTATTTTTTTTTTTTAATTGCTACGAGCTTCAAGCGTGTTTCCAAGCAAACATTTATATAAAGAAATAATAGAATCTGCATCCGATTTTCTACTTCCTTTAAAAGTAACTTCCAACCTTTTTAGTTTCCAAACCAAGCGATGCAATCGCATCGAAACAATCCTTACGGATTTGCCCGCAAGTTGGAAACCACTGTTACGGAGAGTAAAAAAAACTCGAACAAAAACAAAAGCTTAGGCGTAGCGCAATGAGTAAGCAAGCGAACTCATAATAACACCGATAAGCAATATTACTTTGTGTACCGTTGCTCAATAGACCTGACGTGAAGCTCTGCGTGGGGTAGAGTCCCGCCGACAATGTTGGCGGCACTGTGGTCGGCCCGGCGCGTTGGAACGCCTGGCTGAAGTTAGGTCTGTACATCGCCGTTGGTGCACCACCGCTGGCAACACCGTTAACCGTCGACGAGCTGACTATCGTCGCCTGGCTGCAAAAAAACGCGAGCGAGATTCGTGTTAGAGATAACGCCCCGTGCCAGCATTGATTAGTTCTCCGCTCGATTCCGCCTCGCTAGTTCCCTCCCCTTCTTTCCTGTCTCTTTTTTTTTCCTTTCCTCCTTTTTCCCCGCAGTTTTCGTTCCGTGATCTTTGACCGTCTACGAGAGACGGAGAGACGCTTATCTCTCGCCCCTCTCCTTCCTTCGTTTACCCGACTTCTCGACTCTCTGTGAATGAGAGATCGTGGAGAGTGAGAATGGGCGGCCTGAGGACCGATTACGACAGGAGAACGTATATAGTTACTTTTTCTCTCTCTCTCTCTCTTTCTCTCTCTTTCTTTCTCTCTTTTTTCTTTCCTCGCGCCGATCGAACGTCAATCGTAAGAGGCTGCGTTGCTAGTTGGAGGCTGAATCGAGGAGAATGTTTTTGTATCGGTTTTTAAGTTTTTTTTTTTATTCAAAATCGTTTCAGTAATTTGTTTATCGACAATTATTGGATATTATTACCGATTCTTTGCTAAATTCGTGTGTAGAGTCTTGCAAGTATATCGGCCATATTTGATGAAACATCGATGGAAAGAAGTAATTTGACCAGCCATTTTTTGATTCGATTCGAAGGAATGAAATACTTTTTGTTGTATTCAATCTCAATTGATAAAGGTATATATAACTCGAAGAATTGAAATTTATGACATTTTGAAAATATGAATAAATGAATAAATCTTTGGTAAGACAGGATGAATGATGAATGAAGATATGTATATCATCTTGTAGAACCATTACGATTAATTCAATTCTATTCGATATTCTTTATTACAAGATAAAAGAGTATCTGTGACGTTTATTTGTGAAATAAATAAAAAAAATTGATTTCTTCATTTGTTTTACTACTAATAATCAAGAAACGATACAAAAAGCTTATTTGTTTTCGATATAATTGTAAAAATTTATTTAAGAATTTAGGAATCAAACGAAATGACTTTTTCAGAAAGAGAAAAGTAAAGTGCCTCCCCTTTATTTAAAATTAAATTTCATCGATGATTTAAATCTAGTAATCACCTCGTCTAGACATTTTCATTTCTAAAAAATTCAGCGTCACAATTTTGCCAACCGACTTGCTTTAAACCGTTATCTATCTTTGTAACAAATTAACCGATATCACGTTGAATAACCGGCTGAGAAATGTAATTGAGTTATTTAAAGTTCATCAACCGTATTTAATTTTTCAACACGTTTATTAACTTTCGTTCAATAAAGTGTAATTAATCAAATTTCTGGAAAAGAGGGCTGAATGAAAATGAGTAATATAACGAGTTAACTAATTTGCGGTTAATTATTCAACATCTAGGAATATACTCAAATATTTCAAAACAAATTTGATTTTCTTTTTTCACAAATGTAAAATGTAAATATAAACAGTATTATCAATAAGTCCAAGTCATCGGGTTCATTTTACTTGAAGATTTTATTTGTTTATCAAGAAAAAAAAGAAAGGAAGAGAGGAGTCTAATTTTTTGAAATATCATATTAAATATAATTGATAAAAAAATAAAAACAGAAAGAAAACCAGATTTCTTTATAATAATCTACACACGTTGAAAAAAAAAAATGTATGTACCATGATTTTTAAAAATGACAATGTCATCATGTCTCGTATGATTTGAAATTCTTAATTCATTAATCTTTTATATATCACAATATCATAAATATTTATATAGGATAATAAATAACGTGATGTCACAAATTCAAATCATAATATTAACATATTAAATCGTAGATTCCATTCTATCTCCACATTCTAAAAATAATATTAGTATCTACGTTATTAGTCAATAATCTAATAAATTATGTTTTTTTTTCTTTTTATATATATATAGAAATAAACCAACGATTAAACCAATTCAATTGCAATTATTGATAAACAGATATGTAATCTTATATTGTTAATTTTCTTTAAATAAAACTTAACATATTTATTTATTTATTTTTACATTTTTCATTCAATCACACTCATTTATTTATTACTCATTTTGAATCTACTTGACTCAACGATCTTCTTCATCCAAAAATTCGTCGTATAGATTAGATTATATAAAAATTATTTAACAAATAATCATCATTTCTATAATAACTTTAATTTACCAAATTTTAAGAGACAAAGTTGAAACAAAATTCTCTTCGAGAAGATCGTTAAATTTTATATAATATTGTTTAATTGCCATAAAAACAATCATTACTTTGTTCAAACTTAAAACCAAAATCCCCACCTTCCCTCCCTCCCCCGAAAAAGAAAACCAATCTACAATTTTTTTAATCACAATCAATCTCACTTTTCTCTATAAATCGATAAAGCTAAGTTACCCTTTTATTGTCACATTGTTAACATCAGATCCACCTTATTCTTAAGATTAATTTCCTTTTTTTTCTTTTTCTTCTTCTTTTTCCAAAAATAGGATGTAAATTTAATGATTTAACAACTGCGAACAAAGCGCGAAAAAACGAAAGAAGATCGAAGATTTGATTTAACATCTTTCACGAAACGTTATACTGACCTCATGAGACCCTTGTTGTCCGCCGGGGTGAGCAGTTTCGACGCCGGTGCAAGGGACAGGGGTGTGGAGGAGAGAGTGCTGCTCGGCAAGTTCGCCAAACTGGTTAGCGGCGCCAGGGACGTTAGCGATGCCGGTGGTGTATCCTCCCTTTTACCCGGAAGTGATTTCACCGGTGTACTCGAGAAATGCTCCAAACTTGACCGGACATCCGTTTGCTGTAACAACCGCTCGATCTTAGCTTCCCAAAGCGGGATTAGTTGAGGTCTCGTACTTTGGAGGTAAGTTACAGTTAGAGAGAGAGAGAGAGAGAGATGAGCTTCTAATAATTATTATTAACGACGATTAATTATTAATTATTTTTTAACATTCCTTAATTAGTAGGATAATATAAGAGGTGAATAACAATAGAGAATATATTCTTTCAGGGAATGCTGATGGCTGAAGGATACGTTTTTATAGCAATAATATTATTGTTGCCGTTTAAAAGTAATAATTCCATGATTTTTTTTTATTATTGCAAATTTTTAATTGGCAATAATAAATGGCTACAAGTTTAATGATAGGAAGGGATATTTTAAATTATATATATATATACTACGTATATATGTATATTTTTTTTCTCTCCTCGATTAATTTGACGTAAGGATAAATTTTATGAGCAATAATTTTGTCCGATTTTTACTTTTTGCGATTATTCATTTCTACGCGGATGAAATTATTACACCGTTGTTTTACCGCTAAATTATATTTCGATTTCATCGTTGAAATAATGAAAATTCTACGAATTTACGACTATCGGATTTTGCTTGAAGGAATTAAGTGCGTCTTATTAACAAGCACGTCCACGAGTAAGTACGCATGACGATAAACAGCGCGACGATTCATGTAATCGTCTATAATTAACAATATTTCATGTCAACTGAAATATCCGTATCAATAAATAGTGATTCGAACAATCGACTATAATTAGCAATGTGACATACAGTTTATTGACATACAGTTTATTGCGAGTAGAGAAATTTTAAAAAGATCGAATGAAACGAAAAAACTAATTAAATAAACTAAATCAGAATTCTTCGACGATGGATCGTGTACGAAACATAATTACATTTTGCAAAAATCCAATTAATCGATCGTAACACTTGACAGGACGAGTAAAAAGGACAAAAAAAAAATTTAAAGAAAAAAAAAGAAGCAAAAAAATCGTAACAGAAATTCATGATACAAGATCGATCAAGCTTTTTTTTAAGTGCACGACTTTTGAATCACCCGGTAAATGAACTAATAACGTTTGTTGCGTTCGCTGATTGGTCGCGACAAACTCCCCTCCACTGTATGCGCGCGAGAAATTTATCTCACGTTCCAGATTTTTAAGCATTCTGACCCAGTTTTAGCCAGTGGCGATCGAGAATCGGCTTGGCGCGGAGACCAGACGCGAAAATCGATCGGTCGCTGTGTTAAAAAGAAAGCTAGGAAACCACGTGGTTTGTGAGTCCATCGTGTACCTGCTGGATCTGCACGCGATCGTACACCTGTTTGTGCACCACTCTTAGGTTCTTTTTCCTCATGTTTGTCCCTCGTTCCTTTTCTCGTTTATCACCATTCCAATTATCAGTCTGGCTCAAATCGATCAAAGTGTTCACAATCGATTGTTTTAAACCATCATGGTTGAATAGAGAATAATAGAGACTTTCCAAGTCGTAGAGAACTGGCGGCCACTGACATATTCACATAATGATACACTTAATCAACTGTTTCCCTGTAATTGATCGTTTCGAATCATTACAGCGCAGACGAGCGCACATCGCGTACAGTATTCTTCAAAACACGCACAATCACCGTATAAATACCACCGTATCAAAAACCAAAAAACTCAACGGTCTTGATCTCCAATCACTCGCAGTTTGATTCTTTCAAACCGTCATAATAAATCCACACCTTGTGTAAATTCCTTCGTAGACACAGATGATCGCCAAGTCGCACAAAACTGGTCACTGACTGAGCGCACCGTATCCAAACGGTGAAATCCGATGGTACATCATATCACAACACACCACGTGTTCCCAGTGACGTACGCTACGATCAGGGAACCACGATCTATCTTCCTTCGCGAACTATCTCTTCTTACGACGATTATTATACACCCGACTCAGAGCGTGAACTTCTGAATCAAGCGATATTCCACCTGGTGTGAATAATATCGAAATAAAAAAGGAAAAAAAGGGAACAATGGCCAAAAAAAAAAGGATGGCAATGGAACGTCGAGCGAGAATATGTCGAGATCGAAAAGAAGAAGAAGAAGAAGGGGAAGAAGAAGAAGAAGAAGAAGAAACGGCCAGATGTGGCGGACAGGGACGTCGAGGCGTGAGTAAACTCTCTCTCGTGGCCAAGGAAATTAATTCGTGGAAAGAGAAGCAAGCTAGTGGCGAAAGAAAGGGGAGGAAAGAAAGAACGAAGGAAAGAAGGAAAGAAGGAAGGAAAGAAAGAAAGAAAGAAATAAATAAAGAAAGATCGGCCGGGGATCCACCGAGGGGAAGGGGGGCGCGACGGGTGGACCGCGGTGAGGCAAGGAGAGGTGGGGGGGAAGAGGGCGAGCGCGCACGCAGAGAAAGAGGCGCGCAGGCACGGAGGAATGAAATCGTCAAGAGAGAGGAGAACGGATGTAGGGAGGTGTTTTTATGAAAGGCGAGCAGTGTGCGTTGACGTCAATTATATAGGTGGCCACGGCAGATAGCCGCGTCCGTGCACGAACCCCGGTCTTCTCCTTAATAGGTTAGGTTTAGGTCGGCCGAGAGGTTATCGGTCTCTCCGTGCTCCCTCCCCTCCCTCCCTCCCCGCGCCTGACACTATATCGCCGGTTTCCTCCTCCACGGCTAGGGATTTTCAAAGTAGATAAGTCGAGAAACTGTTCGGATGTTCTCGTTTCTCTCTTGCGCCGTGTGCTCGTAACCGTGGATATACAGAGAGAGGTTATGGTATGGTAGGTGTGCAATATTCACGAGGGCGAAGGGAGGATTAGGCGCGCCGGAGACACGCCGATGCCGCCCACGCCGCCGTTCGACGATGAACGGAACGGGGAGATTTCTGCGTTTGTTTCGAGGGGTGAACGAACCTTGCCAGGGGTGGGCAAGGGTGTCGAAATCGAGGTCGGTTCGTGCAACCGTTTTGGACTCGTGAAATTCGTGGTCCTCTAAAGTCGACGAGAAGCTGATGATGTCGTTATTGTAGATATGCGAGACACGGAGAGAAACGAACGAATCTATCTTTTTAGGATGCGTTTCGAATTTGTAAAATTCGTAATCTGATGATCATGGATAGATGCACGAGACACGATGAACGGAGAGATTTTATTCTAATCCATCTTTTTTTAATCAAGGATTTTGTGAAATTTAAGATCGATTCGTGATTTCGTACGGAACGAAGAGATTTCTCGAATTCTTTCAAGGTAGCAAAATGAATCGTTTTTGATTCGATGTTCCTTTCAGATTAGCCAAAAATACGATATGCAGGTTTTCATGAAAATTACGCTCTATTCATAGCGTGATCACGAGATTTTACGTTCGTTTCACCATGAAATATATCCAAGGGTATACCAAATTACAAAATCAGTCAGAGTGCAACAAGCTTTGACTTGTGAAATTCGTGGTTGACTCATAGTTGGCGTCGATTAGAGAGTTAGCGCCGCTCAGATGTCGCTAGCATCGCGCGGCCATGATCGAACAGGGCCTCGGTCGTACAGTTGTATGTACGATTAGGGAAACGAGACAATTCGTCGAAGTGGTGAAACAGGACGGTTGGGTAAACGTGCGATTTTTTTGATTTGGAAGGGGGAGCGTGTCAGCCGTGGCCCTTTTTAAACGATGTCATGGACACACGATGATGACTAACGGGGAGAGACAAAAAAAGAAAAAGTTAAGACTGATGGTAATTCGGACTTGTTATCAACACCTTTGACACGTCCGTGTGTGTATCGCTCGATTTTTATCTGAGACAATGTACAGTGAGAAAACGTTTGAAATACACGAAATTTAAGAGGTTGATTAATTTTTTATGAAAAAGAGAGATTATTCGAGGTGGATTGATATATCGTTCAGGGAATATTTTGTAAATTTTTATAAATTGAGCATGATATATTTAAAGTTCTAGATTGTCATCAATCTCTGTTACACAATTCATGTAAAAACTTATCTTATTTTTGGACTGGATAAGAGTTCATCGATGTTTCACCGATATCTCAGATCTCAGCAAAAAATTTGAATTTGATAATCCCAGAGTAAATGCTTCAGTACAAAAATAGCAACGCCCATCGAAATTTTCTCGAAACAATTTATTTTCCATTAACACCAGACCTACCAACCTATAATGGTAAATACATAATTCAAGTAGCTGGAACGAAAATAGATATTCCGGATATCGATTCAAAGATGTCCATGTCGAAATTTACTTATTAATTCCTTACCCTAACTCGACAACATTCTTATACCGACCCTTCGATCTTGTGCATAACCAAGGATTAATCTCGAAATTTTCCAAAACCAAATAACAAAAACCAAAGATAAAAAAAAATTCGAATCGTAGGGATATCGATCGCGGCACGAGCTTTGTCCCCAGCTGGAAAAAACAAAATCCGCGAGGCGAAGGCTAATTTCGATTTCGAGGCGCACAGGCTTCCGAAATACCGCGCGTGAAAGCTATTCACGAGCGGAATCCACGTTCGAAAATTTCGATCGACTCTCGTGAGGGATGGCCGCCAGGTGGCCATGGACCGCTGAAGAGTGAGAGAGAGAAAGAGAGAGAGAGAGAGGAATATTTCGATTTTTTCGTTCCATCGAACCACGCGTGGAACGTGGCCATCGTGCGCGCTCCGTTGCATCAGAGAGTGGGAGAGGTGCGCGACCCACGGGGTTATCACTCTCCGCGTACCTATATCAATCCTAGACTCTCTCCGTTTCACGAAGCGTTGCGCAGGAGGCTCTCCCTCGTCGGATCTTGATAATTTTATGGACGGCTACTTTCATGGAAAACTTTATCGCGCCACTTGGTTGCGTCATCCTCTTCGCTCTCGCGAAATCTGACGACCGATCTTTCTCTCTCTCTCTCTCTTTCTCTCTTCCTCTGTTCCTCTCGCACGATTTTGATGTACGCTCGGTTTTGGATGGTTGGCTTGGCGTGAGTTTTTGAAAAGGGAGAGGATTTAGGGATTTTTATTATTTTTAATTGCTGTATTGTCGTTTTTTGGAAATATTTTTGGGAGAATAGAGATATTTTGACGAGTAGGAGGATTTGTGTGAAAATTTTACGTATAATTTTATTCGAAAAAGAAAAAAAAATTAATGAAGAATTTGTGGATTTATCGATTTTTATCGAATATGTGTGTGTGTGTGTGTGATTGTGTAAATGAATTGTGTCTAACTATTTAGAATATTATTGGAGAATAATTAAACGATTGTGAGTCGGGAAACAGATACTGTGTATTTTCCATTCTGGAATAGAAAGTTCCATCAGGTGATGTCATAAGTTTAATATATTACGTAGAAGTGAACTGATAATTGCTCGATGATTTAATGGAAGTGTTCGTAAGCAATTAAAAGCAAACAAAAAAAAAAAAATATATGTAGTGTCGATTGCTGTTGCAATATCATTCACGTGCAATGTCTCGTTAGAATCATATAATAATCACGTGATGATTTAGCAAGCACTTCTAACGTATGCTGATCTCTTTTATTATCAATATCTGTATTAATAATGGAAGGAATAATAATTCTTGTTTGGTAAATAGGTGAATAAACATGTTGGGATATATTATTTCTTCTTAATTATTAAAAAAAAAAAAATAGAACTTTACCAATGAACGTAACGAAATATCGAAGATAAAAATGAATGTTAATTAAATAAAACGCGTATTTAAGTTAATATATGTATTCACATGTATTATAGTATAATACGTGAAACTGAAATTGAAAAATACTCTTATCTATATAAGAATATTTGCTGTTTCATCTTTTTACGCGAAGATAAACTGTTTAATGACGATATCCAATTACCTATAAACAAAATGAAATTTCATTTCCTCGTGCGTTTGATGATATTGCAATAATAAAAGAAACAAGTGTTACGTTATCGTAAAAACGTTAAATCAACATAGTTGTAATATAAGCATTCAGTATTTACATTTATAAACATATATAATTTCAATTAATACAATTTATATTACGAGTATCATTTCATTTTTTTGTGATTATTAAAAAATTTAAAGCATTTTTTCCAATAAATTAAATTTAAATGACATTCTGGTAAATAAATTAAAATTTTTCTTTAAAAATTTTTTGTTTAAAGCAATTGCATTCCAATATTTTTTTTTTTTATATATAAGAAAAATAGGTACATCTCAATATTTATATATAACCTGAACTTTAACTAAAAACTAATCTTACATAATTTCTCTTTTTACTAAAGTTATCGAGCCAATAATAAAAAAAAAAAAAATTATGCATTTAGCGTTCGTAAAATAACTCGATCCTTAACGCGTTAATTCAAATACTTGGATTAATTCCGATAACCTCCGTGGCGCCACTATCGATATGGCGTCCACCATGTTAATCAACGCGTTAATAACGAATAAAATCAGAAAAAGAAGAAAAATCTCGAGAAAAAAAAACTCCATCCTCTTCAACTTGACTTGAAATAAAATATTAGCGATGAAGAGAGCGCGTAGTAAAGCTCGAGAGAACTGGAAGAGGATAGTTCGATACCGCGTGGACGATCCGTACTCTTTTCGTTCTAATTTTACTCACCGTCGCAGCCGGAAGAGTTGGCATTGGTTGTGAGACAGGCTCCAGACCGAGTCTCATGCGTTTCGCGTTGTCGCTCTCATTTTCGCAGGCCGTTGCCAGAATCTGTTCGGCCTGCACGGAGGTCAAGTGCGCCGGAGTGGGCCTCGCCTAAAAAGAATAGCCACGTGATCGTCGCATACCGAAAAGCTTCGAACTTGACTCAGACCTGGGGAATTTGCGAGCTTTCGCGATCCATGGTTCGCAGAATTCGAAATTATCAACGCCACTGACGAGGCGAGAATTTATTTTCGTTGATAGTCGAAAAAAATTGATTACGTACCAGTGGCGAATATTTCTTTTAATTTTTGTGAAATTTTGTATTATTGAAGTTAGAGTTTAATTCAATTCTTTTAAATTCTTCTTTCAAAATAGTTAAATTAAACATAAAACAATATCGATAAATAACCATATCATCACAATCTCGAGTTTTGTTTTCAAAATTAATTCATAACCTCAAAAATTTCATTATTCTTCGATTTTTCAACTTCCTCCTTCAAAAACACCAAATCTTTCGCCTTTCTCCAGGCTAGAAACATTACAAGGTCTTTATATCCTCGTCTTATCACTCAGAAATATGGCTCAAACCATTACAAATGTGAAAACAAATGTGAAAATTCTCACCGCGTCCCAAGGTGCACCCTCCCTGCCACGCTTGTTCCTCCTACAGCTCTTCAGGTACGTTCTGATCCTCTTCCTGGCTCTCTCCGCAAACTCTGGAAATTGCCTGGTACAACTATCGATGATCGCCTGTATTTTTTCCTTCGGTTGCTTCGAGATGGGCACGATACGGTCCAAGTTCTCGTCGACGAACAGCCTGACGAACATCTGTAAAGATGGAACGCGTGTACACAGACCGCGGCGCGGAACGAATTGAAACGAGAGCCCCTGTACCAAGTTGGTAGACGCAGGAATTAAGGATTTCGCGGTGTGGTGGGGGCGTGCCATCGTCTATTAAACTAATTGTAATTAATTAAGGAGCTGTTCTGCCCGGGCAGCTCACGGCCATCTGCGGGCCCTGCTGCTTTGGATTTCAGTTTCCGCGACGAGAGGGCGCAAGAGGGCAGAAGAGTGGCCACCGCGTGGCGTCGCTGCGATCTTCGTAAAACTACGATAATTGTGGGTTTTTCGGGAGGAGGAAGAAAGTTCCATGGCCTTTCTTTCGTTTTAAGCATGGAGGATGTTGTCTTTTTATACACGTGATGCTTCTTTTCTTCTTCTTCAGCCCCCTCTCCCTCTCATTTTGTTACGAATAATAATTTTGTATCTTTTTACGTGGTTGCAGAGCTAATGCTGGCTGCAATAAACTTGCTGTTTCCGGTTTAATGCGGCCCAAGGCGTCGAGTATATACGGTAATGTGCCTCGCGCTTTGAGGTTATGGTTTCAGGTGTTTAAGCGGAGATAATTACGGATGATGTACCGGAGAATGGGGTTTCTTTTTTTAGTTTAGGCTCCTTTGGTGATGGCTTGTTAAGAGAAATGGAGGTTTGAGCGTATTGTGAGAGAAACATTCGAGTCGAAGAAATCAGGAAAGATTGCTCTTTTAAACACACGGTGCGAACTACTTTGTTAATTAAAGTTTCACGATAGATCCGTGTTTTAGAATACAATAATTTGGAATTTGTACGTATAAAAATCGAGGCAAAGGCGAGAAAGTAAACGAGACATCTAGTAGCGATTTCAGGAAGCACAGCCAAAGCTCGAATAAAATATTTTCACGAAACACCATTAAAGAAATATATTTAACAACAATTGAGCAACAATTAATCTCGAAATTATATCTGATCTATTAAAATCATTATCACAATCGCGATTCTCAACGATCAAAAAAACTCATCCTCGTCAAGACGCTCATTTTCGACTCGTTTCATTAATCACGCCGCAGCCGAAACGGAACAAAGGGAGGAGAGGAGAAAGAAGAGGAGCAAAGCTGAAGGGAATTACGTAAATCCGTGGACTCACGTTGAAAGCCTTCTGGCGCTCCGGGTCGTGGTGTCTGGGGTCCAACCTCTCGTCGGCATCCTCGTCGTCGTCGTCCTCGTCCTCCTTATTGCCGCTGCTGCTCGTCTCGTCGTGCGCGCTCCCCGTCCCCTCCCCCGGAGGGCTGGACTCGCGATCACGATCTGATCGCGAGGGCGTCGCCGCGGATGCTGGCGGCGGTGTCTTCTTTAATCCCATCGCGTAGGACGCCCACAAGGATGCCATGTCCTCGCCACCGACTCCAGCAACCGCGCCCAAATTAGGAACGGTTCCGGCTGGCATGTCCACCAACTCTGATGACCCGTTTCGGGAGTCTGGAATACGAGAAAAATAGAATCGTTTCGTTGGAATCTTTTCACGACGATTAATTTTGAGGTTATTGTTGGGATTACTGTGTTCGTTTTGCTGTGCAATTTTGTACATGTAGGTGAAATACGAGGTTATGTTCGTTTTACTATAATTTTATAACGGGGAAAATGAGTTGGGTTAGTGACATTTGAGGTTATGTTAGTTATTTTGAAACGTCTCTTGAAAAAATATTTATGCGTTTATTTATTTTTGTTAGTATGTAGACAGATAATATTTGGTTTTAAATATGTGAAAAATGAAATGATTTTGAAATTGGTCTTGTATATGTGGCTGTTGTCCCCCCGTATATTGTGGTGAATATTATGATTATCATTATTGTAATGGGTTAACCGTCACGTTAATATCCAAAATTCTGGACAATGTTGAATTATATATTGTATAATTTAATATTTAATTAAACTAGTGGAACACACATTTCGATATTAATATTGAAAATAAATTTAATTCATTGGAAAAATTATATCGAAAATAAAAGTACACGTGATTAAAATCAGTGAATCTGCTCAACCATTTCCACCAACATCGTTCAAAAAAAATTATTAAAGTAATAGACATCATTGACGTTGACTCGAATTTTGAATCTCCAAACGAATTCTTTCGCCGAGACAAGATTGATCCCGATTGACCCTCGGTCGATGACAATTGCAGTCAGAAAGCAAGAAAGCAAGTGTAATTGTTCCAAAAAAACATCCGAGGTGAGGTAAACTAAAAGCCAGAAACCACGGCATCAATCTTCCCCATCGGGACAATCCACGAATTACGGTTGAAACGAAACCGTCCAATTCCGCATTTACATGAACGAGCAAGTGTAACTCACGGCATTAAACCGTGAAGTTTTTATCGCCGCATCTAGAACGACGTCTGTCAACTTGTTGCGCCTAGTCGGCTCCCACGAAGACAATTCAAATAATCTCGCGGCTTTACATGGAACTCGCATCTTTCCATCTGCTGATCTCAATTCCATCTTTTTTCGTGAGATAGATAGATCACCTCGAGAACACGATTGGCCGAATGTTGTTGTCGATAGGATGTTGATGTAGAAGAGGAATTCCTCCCCCCCTTTTTTTTGTATTGCAAAGTATTCGTGATTAAATAATGCGAGTAGCGATTGAATTAAAAATAACGATTTTTTTCTTTTTTTACGATGAACAAAAGTTTTAACACAGTTTAAATCGAAATAGTATTTTCGAAACATTAGTAGCTTCATCGTGTTAAATTGTTTTATATTTTCTCTCGCGAGATCGATGAAAAAGTTATTGCAAAAACGGGACGACTCTCTCCGCTCCTCTTTAAACGGATAAATCCTTTTCGGATAATATTCTCGCCCGATCTCGCGATAATACATCAAATTATCACGTCTCCATCGTAAAGCTGAATAACTGTAATGCCAACAGCTTGTTCCCTCGATAGCACGCGTACGTGTAATACACACTGTGCCAGGTTTACTGTTCCTTCGATCTCGTCCTTAATCAGTGGCGTCACGCAATTCAAACGTGGCATCGTTATTATATTTATGCTATAAATACCACCCACATGCCCGCCGTTACCACACAGTTTATTTACCACACGGCAACTATCTCCAAGTTTAGCCGTGGGAAGAAAGGGGAACGTCCTTTTCTTCCGCGACGCAGGAATTCAATTGAACAAGAAGGAACGCCCCATCAATCTTTCCCCGAGCTAACAGCACATAATTCCGCGTTTAAAGTCGTCATATGTATATAAGTATCTTCCAAGTCGCAAAGAATGTTTTATTACTTCTTTTTTTTCTTCAAAATAAACGGAAACAGGATCACCGACGGTTTAACAACACGTAAATTGTCACGGTCAGCTTCTAATTAAAGTTTCTCCCATTCTATATATGCTATATTTTCTATACCGTTGGATGCTGCCGCTTCGACACTTGCGTAAAACTATCACGTGACAGGACTCGAGGCCGAGCGCTGCCGAATGTTCACGAACATTCACGAACAAAACTAACCGATGAAAACGTGTGTCCAGAAACATGTTCGATCGATTACTTCGAATTGTGAATTAATCCAAATAATATTATTTTATTATAAATCTCGTTAAATTTCGCAACTTTGTGAATTCGAATAGTGAACAGAGTTGTGTAACGCTAAAATTCGTAACCGATCAACGAAACGAAATGGAGTCCAAGAAACGTTACGTTAATAATAGGATACATTAACGGTTCTGAAAAGGCAGGTTCGGGCCCCGTAATGCCCATTAGTAACTCGTTCCGACAACGGAGAGCTCGTCCTCGCCGTGTTATTCCGTGGAGATAAATTGCGCGACTCGTGCCCATTCCAATAATGAACAAGGGGGGAAGTCCGCGCGAAAACGGTCGAAAACGAGTCGCATTATTTCGCCACAGCCTTGACTCCCGGAGGCGTCGCCTCTCGACGCGTTCTTCTTTTCGCCGGGGCATGCAAAAAATAAAAAAAAGAAAGAGAAAGGGGGGAGAAAAAAAAAGGCCGACCTGTTTCCAAAACCCGTAATAAGTCTAAGTAGAGTCCCTGCCATCGGATGCAAGAAAGAGGCGCGCACGGGTCCCAGGAGAGAACGAAGGTGCTTTCACGAGGATGTTGTCGAGGACAGAGAGAGGCTGCACACGAACCAAACTGACTGGTGGAATGTAAAAAGTAATCGTGGTGGAACGTTGGAAAGAGGCTCTGTCCGAGATCGTGTAAATGTATAGTTGGTTATAAATACGAATAGTGGTGGAGTTGTAGCAAGTTTTTGAATAAAAGTTAGGGGATCAAGAAGATGTGATATTAATATTTAATAATAAAACAAGAGCAAGCAATCATCGCACAACAGTCGGATAATAACGAGAGCAAAGGGAAAATGGTTAAATAATGTTTCGAGGAAATATCAATATCCTCCTCCGCGAAAGTACGCTACGATATATTAAAAATTGGCCGTACCCTCAAAGTCTGTGTCTATTTTGCTCCCTTTAAAAATAAACCCACCACTTTCAAATAACCCGCCATCCCAATAACCTTAACACTATTAATAAACCCAAAAGAGGCCTCCTTCACACCGTGCGTATACTCTTTGATCGGCGACAAGCCTCTTTGACGTTTCCCATGCAACATCAAAAGTCACCAGACAGGAAGTCTAACCTTCCCTCTCTCCTTCTCTCTCTCTCTCTCTCCCTCTCCCTCTCTCTCTCTCGAAAAAAAGAAGAAAAAGAAAAAAGGAGGAAAAAATTCATCAACAATGCAAAACTTATACACACCTAGACGAGCGGCGGTGCTCGGTGCCGGCAAAGTCGTCAGACCAGTCGGCCCCGGGGGCAACGAGAGCCCCGGCCGCTTACCAACGTCGAAAACAACAAGATTAATGGCTAAATAATCGGCGATATCAATGCCAGGCCCCTCATTGGAGGACAGATCGCGTGCCGATCGACACGCCATCATCCCGGAAGAATCGCGAGGGAAAATTGGCGACCATTTTCTGGCCAACTTCACCAAGTTGGACGGCCACGTATTAGGTTAGGAACGTACGAGGATCTAATTCATTGGTTCGCGCTTCCAGGAAGATTCCGGTAGAACCGGTAGAACGCACAAGCCGACCCAGGAAACTGGACCCTGGAGTCCAGGAGGCGCGTATGTACGTTCGTCCTCTCCTCTCTCTCTCTCTCTCTCTCTCTCTC